TAGCTTAACAATCGGTCACACGTAACCATGAGTGTGTTAAAAATAGTGATCCTTTTCACTAGTTTACTTCACAGCTTAATTGAAGCTGAAGTTATTTACAATGGTAGTTCTACGGCTAAGGACGATTGGTGGAAACATACAGCATTCTATCAGATTTATCCTCGATCCTTCAAAGATAGTGATGGCGATGGACTGGGCGATTTGAATGGTATTATTAGTAAATTACAATATCTGGTAGATGCTGGAATAACGGCTACATGGCTTTCGCCAATTTTTAAATCTCCTGGAGTCGACGCTGGATATGATATTAGCGATTTTAGAGATATTGATGAAAAATTCGGAACCATGAGTGATTTTGATCGACTCCTCAAGGCTGCCCACGACCTTGGCATAAAAGTTATTTTGGATTTTGTTCCGAATCATACCAGCGATCAACACGTGTGGTTCCAGTTGTCCAAAAATAGAACAAAGGGGTACGAGGACTATTTCATTTGGAAAAAGGGCTATAATTCAACAACACCTCCTAATAACTGGGTTAGTGTAATATTCCCAATTTTTTATTTGAACTTTTACTAATAAGTAGTTTTTGATTAATAACAGTCGCAAATGTATGAACATTCCGAGTATATCATAGGTATGATATAAAAGAATTTCGGATCATTCTTTTACTGTAAGCAATATGATAAAAGTATTTTTTCCTAAACAATTATTATGAATGTTATTTTATCAATGTTCAGCACAACAAAAATAAAGAACAGGTCCGTTTCATTTGTGTAAAAAAAGGAACTAAAAAATATCTGATTTATACGGAATTATAATTGACAAATCTAATTTCGACTTGCTTTGTATGTATGTTTTGGACGATTTAATCGCCGATTGTGAACCGATTTCAATGATTCCTTTTTCATCGAATCGACTATATCTCATGAGCACTGCCATTTAAATTTAATGAATATATTCCACCTCTATGAGTGTATTTTTTTCTTTATAATTGGCAATGTATTTGAAATCGGTTTTTCTTTTGTGGATACAAAAATTTAAATTTGATATAGGTACAATTAAAATAACATAGAAGATGACAAATAAGGTAGTATTAGAAAGAGTAGGACAACAGGAGACGTTATGAAAATTAATAATAAATACGGAGATAGGTTGGTAGGACTCTTTCTCAGACCAAATGGGCTAGATAGAAATATAAAAATGCGGAAACAGGAGTTAAAAGGGGCAGAGGTATAACTAGACTTAATTACTGTTCGCAAATAGAAAATGTTATGTTTCTCGAGTGAGAAATGTTAGACTGATTTAATATAAGAAGCGGAAGTGCGTGTCCTATCACTTTTCGGGTTGAAGATGATGATAATAATAGAATGTAATGATATTCCTATACTTTCTTCAGGAATCAGTGTGATTCTTATTTATTAGTTAGTTGTAAAATAGTAATTACTAAGTGGTTAGTATATAGGAGCTGTAATAATTTTTTTTTCTGACAACTTTTAAAATCTCCGTAACACAAGGAGAGATTTGTTATATGGCTGAATATTTTTATGGGTTATTTATGTTAATAATTGTTATTTGGAACTTTGAATATAGGTATGCATTTAAGTACTACTCATTTCAACAAAATTCGGCTAGTACACTAATAAATTATTATTTTATAAAGGTGACAAGATTCGGTTATTCCGCCTGGGAATATGTAGCCGAGAGAGATGAATTTTATTACCATCAATTTACCACTTCACAACCTGATTTGGACTTCAGAAACCCTAAAGTTGTACAAGAAATGAATGTAAGCTATAACTGTCCCTTTTTAATATATTTAAAACAAATTAATTGAAAACATTTGTTTCTTTTTAAAGGACGTGCTGACCTTTTGGTTAGATAAGGGCGTAGATGGGTTCAGAATTGATGCAATTCCCTTTATTTTTGAGCACCCTGATTTCAAAGATGAACCGCTTGCTGACGACTACCAAAACTACAAACCCTATGAGTACAAATATCTCAAGCATATTTATGTTAGGGATCAACCGGAAAGTATAGACATGATTTATCAGTGGAGAGAAGTTGTCGACAATTACCAAAAACAGAAAGGAGGAGATACCAGGTAACACCCACACGTTCGAAAAAGGCGCTGTACCAATAATAATANTGTTTTTTTAAAGAACGTGCTGACTTTTTGGTTGGATAAGGGCGTAGATGGGTTCAGAATCGACGCGGTTCGCGCTTTCTTCGAACATCCTGATTTCAAAGATGAACCGCTCGCTGATGATTACGAAAACTACAAACCGTATGAGTACAATTATCTCAATCATATTTATACTACAGATCAACCGGAAAATATAGAAATGATTTATCAGTGGAGGGAAGTTGTTGACAATTACCAAAAACAGAACGGAGGAGAAACAAGGTAACAGCCACGTGTTCGAAGTATAAAGAATTTCTACCAATAATGACCATATCATAAAACTTTCAAATCCAACAAGAATATAATAGCTATTCAAAAAAAGATATCTCCTGGGTATATAAACGTTTTCTTAGGATAATCATTACCTGCTATCAGCAACGTAGGTGTCTATTGTATATGTATTATTATTTAGAATATTCAGAAGTTAAAGACAATTTCTATTCATATTCGTAATTGAAATTTTTTCTATTAAAACAAAAACGTTTATTTTTGAATACAGCTTGTTATATCAATCTGCCAAGTAGAATAACAATTTCCCAATACCTATACTGCAACTTACAGCTTATATTCGGGAAGGAATGTTAGAAAATTTCTAATAGCTGATACCAGTACCTTACTGTATCCTTTGTGGATGAAGGTATTGGCAAATTATCATTAATTTTCATGAAAGAGTAGCAATTCGTATCCATACGGTTACTTAGAATAAATACGTACATAATTGAAAAATTTCCTTTCCATAGAGTGCTCATGAGCGAGGCGTATTCAAGAGTAAACATCATTATGCAACATTATAGCAATGGAACAGTTGAAGGGGCTCATTTTCCTTTCAATTTCTTTGTGGTAACCGACACAAGATATAACAGTACTGCCAATGAGATCATTTCGCCAATAAAGAAATGGTTGCAAAATATGCCAAGCGGACATGTAGCTAATTGGGTGGTAAGAATGTCATCAAACGCCGTAGTTGGCTTATTGAACTTTAATCGATTCGTCTGTTGTATTAAAGAACTCACAATCGTGACGTGACTCAGAATAAAAAAGACAGTTACTTATTTGCTTCTTCTTCTATCACAAACCATTTTACGTGAACATCGTATCCTTCTTGGGTTTCAGTTGGGAAATCACGATAGAGACAGAGTAGCCACCCGTCTTGGAGTTGAGAATGCAGACGGATATAATATGCTGATAGCCCTTCTACCAGGGGTGGCTGTCACTTATTATGGGGAAGAAATTGGAATGGAAAATGGAGCAGTAACATGGGAAGAAGGACAAGATCCAAAAGCATGCATTGGACCCAAAGAAGATTACCTACGTACAACCAGAGATTTTGAAAGGACTCCGTTCCAATGGGACTCTACAGTTAACGCAGGATTCAGTACAGCGAACAAAACCTGGTTGCCCGTCAGTTCACAATATAAAACAAACAATCTTGAACTACAAAGTAAAGATGGAGTAAAAAGTCACTTTCATGTCTACCAAGGTCTAATGAAGTTAAGGAAAGAAGATTCCTTCGTTTTTGGAAATTTGAACATAGAGGCTTTAGACACTTACGTATTGGCATTTACTAGGGAGTTGGTTGGTAACGACACCTACGCTTTTATATTTAATAAGGGAAATTATTCTTCTACAGTGTCCTTATCTCCCTTTAAGTCTGTCACAGGGAATGTTACAGTAGTTCTAACCAGCAGCAACTCAACCAGAAACGCAGGGTAAGATATGCAAAATTAAACATTTTATATATTCGTAATTGTTCCCTTAATACCAATGAACAGGATTAATCAAGCAAGTTAAAAGGGTTAAAAGTGTTTTATTTATCAATAATCAATACCGACGTTTCGTTTTTGATGTAAAGCTTCCTCAGGGCTACAATAATCTGCAAAAATTCACAATACAATTCGTTACGTTAAGCGCAATAAGTAGGTATTTACTAGATTATAAAGTCACTTATTGTATAATAACTTAAGAGTTGCAGAAAAAGTAAAAGGTGCTACAAGCCATTGTAGATCACCCAAGCTTACTTGAATACAGTTAATAATGAGTGTGGAATACAATATTAAAATCGACATAAACAATCACAATTAAAATAATAAATTAATAATAAGTTAGCGAATTAAAAATTACGTGGTAACAAAACGAAACGAAAACCCAATTAAAACTGTTTAGAGATAAAACAGAAGGTGATTTTCCTTCTCTCATTTAATTTTTTATAAAGTCAAATTTTTAGTTAACTATACTGTTAACAAGCTTCAAGTAATGAGTAGTATTATGTATTTTTGTATATTATTGTAGCCCTGATGAATTTCAACACAAAAAGCGAAACGTCGGTGTTGATTATCGATAAATAAAACACTTTTCCCCCTTTAAGTTGCTTGAATAATTCTATCCTAATAATTTTATTTTATGCACCCGGTTATTATATATAATGTTTCAAACAGTAATGCCTTCAGGGTTATTCATCTATATGTAAAATTCTTGACTTAAAAAAGTCACAAAATCATTAATCTAGGTTTATTGTGGTTTTCAGGGATACTCTGCCATCAGGAAGAATAACTATGGATGCGCACGAAGCAATAGTTGTAAAATCACCATCAAATGTTTCCGTGTGATGGAACAATTACACTACTCTGTTAATAATGTTATTTCTATTTCGAATTACCTAATGGCAAATTGATTAACATTTTATCTGTTATGTTGAAATATACCGACTTTATCACTATACTAAATTTATTATATTTTGTCAGATTTTTGGAAAAAAAAAACAGATATGACAATATACTTTGGTTCTTGTTTCTTTTTTTTCTTCCACTACGAGTCCTACCATTTACTTTACACGTTAGGATCCTAACAAAGCGTCAAACTCAGCATGAAAATCTGCTATAAAATTTCAACAATTAGTTCTCCAGAAATACATAAATCTACATTTAAAAATTCATGTTGTGTCGTTTAAGTAGTTATCGTTTGTAAATAAAGTTTCATTTCGCTTGTAATCGCAGCAATATTAATTTTTTGCTGGTGTGGGGTTGATTGTGGCGACTGTATCCATTAATACGATATTTTAAAGGATGGATTATGAAACACAGTCGAGAACTAATATTCTGACCTGAGGCATGCTGCTAAAAATTTTGAATAGGTTACATGGATTGGTTTTTAATTTCATGAGATAATTCGGACTTGTGGTATTAGAAATCATTTTTCTCAATCATATCGCTATAATATACTTTCGTAAGTTCATCGTCATCAAGTCCTTACTATCGGTAGTATCGTAGAAATGACTTTATCCTCTACTTTTGTAAAATTTATATTTGTGTTCCATNTAGCTTAACAATCGGTCACACGTAACCATGAGTGTGTTAAAAATAGTGATCCTTTTCACTAGTTTACTTCACAGCTTAATTGAAGCTGAAGTTATTTACAATGGTAGTTCTACGGCTAAGGACGATTGGTGGAAACATACAACATTCTATCAGATTTATCCTCGATCCTTCAAAGATAGTGATGGCGATGGACTGGGCGATTTGAATGGTATTATTAGTAAATTACAATATCTGGTAGATGCTGGAATAACGGCTACATGGCTTTCGCCAATTTCTAAATCTCCTGGAGTCGACGCTGGATATGATATTAGTGATTTTAGAGATATTGATGAAAAATTCGGTACCATGAGTGATTTCGATCGGCTTATTAAGGCAGCCCACGAACTTGGCATAAAAGTTATTTTGGACTTTGTTCCGAATCATGCCAGCTATCAACACGTGTGGTTCCAGTTATCGAAAAACAGAACTAAGGGGTACGAAGACTATTTCATTTGGAAAAAGGGCTATAATTCAACAACACCTCCTAATAATTGGGTTAGTGCAATATTCCAAATTTCTTATTTTGACTTTTACTAATAAGTAGTTTTTGATTAATAACAGCTGGAGATGTACGAACATTCCAAATATATCATAGGTATGATATAAAAGAGGTTTGAATGTCTCTTTGCGATTCGCTTTTATCTACTTTTTTCTTATTTAATTAAAAAAAAAAATAGTTGTACCAGTTCGAACCAATTTATTTTGGAAGTGGTAAATTTCAATAAATTTGACAAGAACGTGTTTGCGTTAATATTGGAAATCATTTATTCCACAAGCTATGCGTGACCTCTTGGGTGCTTTGATTTTGGAGACATTCAAGCACTGTAACAGCTTATTTATTGATTTATTGCGCATTTTATGAAAATTGGTGCATTTTAGACATAAAACATGATAAAAAAAGTGGTATTTGAATTTAACCAGGAATTCAAAAATGCATTTGAAAAAATCAAGTTTGGTTGTATATAGAAAATCATTTTAGGATATGAAGATACTTATGTGGTACCACTTTTGCAAGAAACCTTTTTCGATATCTTTAACGGTAAAGCACTTACTGAAAAAAAACCGCTTTTCGAAAATGTGAGGTTTAAAATAAACATGAATTTATTTTAGGAATGGGGAAGCATAACCTTGGTTTCCTTCATTTAAGTAAGTTAGACCTTCCATTACAGAGGTGAAAAATATTGCTGCATTACTGTCTCTGATCATTTCCATTGTCATTACTTAAAAAAAATATTTCGATTTTTAAATCGAATTACTGCATTTGCATGAAATTAACGTACACGCGACTAAAGCGACCTACTGAAGTACCGTATAGAGATATAGATCTAAACGTTTATCTGCACATTTCACCTAATATAAATACCTGCAAATTGTCCAACAATTGATTATTGTCTATTAGCTTAACAATCGGTCACACGTAACCATGAGTGTGTTAAAATTAGTGATCCTTTTCACTTGTTTACTTCACAGTTTAATTGAAGCTGAAGTTGTTTATAATGGTAGTTCTACGGCCAAGGACGATTGGTGGAAACATACAACATTCTATCAGATTTATCCTCGATCCTTCAAAGATAGTGATGGCGATGGACTGGGCGATTTGAATGGTATTATTAGTAAATTACAATATCTGGTAGATGCTGGAATAACGGCTACATGGCTTTCGCCAATTTCTAAATCTCCTGGAGTCGACGCTGGATATGATATTAGTGATTTTAGAGATATTGATGAAAAATTCGGTACCATGAGTGATTTCGATCGGCTTATTAAGGCAGCCCACGAACTTGGCATAAAAGTTATTTTGGACTTTGTTCCGAATCATGCCAGCTATCAACACGTGTGGTTCCAGTTATCGAAAAACAGAACTAAGGGGTACGAAGACTATTTCATTTGGAAAAAGGGCTATAATTCAACAACACCTCCTAATAATTGGGTTAGTGCAATATTCCAAATTTCTTATTTTGACTTTTACTAATAAGTAGTTTTTGATTAATAACAGTCGGAAATGTACGAACATTCCAAATATATCATAGGTATGATATAAAAGAAGTTTGCATTACTATTTCACTGTAAGCAATACGATAAAAGTATATCTCAAGAGTACTACCATTTAAATTTAATGAAAATCCCATTTCTATGAGTGTATTCCTTTAAGTTTTCTCATAATAGGTAAGATTTTTGAAGTGGGTTTTTGTATTGTTGATACAAAACTTTAAATCTGAAACTCAATCAACAAAGAATAGAAGGTTACAGATAAGGTGGTAGTAGAAAGAGTAGGAGAATAGAGAACGTTATGGAAATTAATAGAAAATAACGAGATAGGTTGGTCGGACTCTGTTTTAGACAAAAAGGGTCAGGTAGAGACATATTACAATCATCAGCGTCATCATTATCATCATCATCATTATCATCATACTACTTCAATAGAAGGAATTATTTTCTATGAATTGGGTAGTTCTTTGAAACTATTTGCACCAATTAGCTGTTATAAAAAATATAAGAATTAAATCGAAAATAAGTGGATAGTATGTATGACCTGTAATTATGTTCTTTTATTTTACTTTATGAAGCTGTCTAGATTCGATTATTCCGCCTGGGAATATGTAGCCGAGAGAGACGAATATTATTACCATCAATTTACCACTTCACAACCTGATTTGAACTTCAGAAATCCTAAAGTTGTACAAGAAATGAAAGTAAGCGATAACTGTTTAACTGTTTATTTAAGATTAATTATTAAAAATNTTCGCAAAATCGCAATCAATCATGCCATCACGTTTGCCGTGATATCGGCATCATCTGGCCATTATTCGACGATATCGTGGCACTTTTCCTAATGGATTAAACCATTACAACAGCGAATAGATGAAGGAGTGCTCAACCCGTTTTTCAGATAACAATAGCGCCGATTGTGATTAAATTATTTACCATTTTTTTGCTGTTTTAATGACTTACAAAGGCGTTTCGAAATCGCGTTTTTCATCTCAAGACGCTAACATTGAATTTCACGTTAACGCAATTCCAATTTTTCGAAATAAGTATTTAATTTCATAATAGAATCTTAACAATCATCACTAGTGATTCACGAAGCCCGGCAGTTGCCCCATACGCATTTTTAGTGAACATAGAATACGAGACCATTAATATGATTGCTGGTACATGTTTCTTTCGACTTTCGACCTACCCAACTCCGAATTGCTATTATTATCTACAGGTACAGTATGTATTCACTAGTGGTAAATTAACGAGGAAAAATTGTTGCTGCTGTCTTGCCCTCGCCGGGAATCGAACCCGGGACCTTTGATTTTACGCACCAATGTTCTATAAAGCCAAAGGTCCCGGGTTCGATTCCCGGCGGGGGTGCGACAACAGCAACAATTTTTCCCTCATTAATTTGAGGTAGTTTGTAATGGGTAAATTGAGAATCGAAAAAATGATTTCAAATTAATAAGTATCTATGAAGAAGTTCTAGATATCAGTAATAACCAACATGTAAGAAATTACCGCAGGTGCCTATTTATTGAATTTGTATTATTTATATTCGGTAGTTAGAGACAACTTCTATTCATATTCATGTTGCAACATACAGCTTACATTTGGGGAAGAATATTGGAAAATTCCTAATACATTTATACGTTCGCTGATACCAATACCTAAGCCATATCCTTGTAGATTAAGGTATTGGTAGATTTTGTTTTATTTTCATGAAAATGTAGCACATCGTATTTATACGGTTACTTCTTGTTAGAATAAATATGTAATTGAAAACTCCCTTTCCATAGGGTGCTCATGACCGAAGCATATTCAAATATAAGCGTCGACATGCTACATTATGGCAATGGAACAGTTGAAGGAGCTCATTTTCCTTTCAATTTCTTTATCATAACCGATACCGAATACAACAGTACTGCAAATGAGATTATTTCGGTAATAAAGAAATGGTTTCAACACATGCCAAGCGGACATGTATCTAATTGGGTGGTAAGAAGATATCTATAAACATGGTAGTTTGTTTTTTGCACGTCAATCGATTAGTCTATAGCTTCAAAGAATTCACAAGCGACACGTGACTCAGTATAAAAAAGACAGTTACTTAATTGCTTCTTCTTCTACTTCTTCTATCACATATCGTATTAGGTGAATATTGTTTCCTTATTGGGTTTTAGTTAGGAAACCACGATAGAGATAGAGTAGCGACCCGTCTTGGAGTTGAGAATGTAGACGGATACAATATGATGGTAGCCTTTCTACCAGGTACAGCGGTCACTTATAACGGAGAAGAAATTGGAATGGAAAATGGAGAAGTAACATGGGAAGAAGGACAAGATCCGGGCGCTTGCAATGGACTCGAATCAGATTTCAAGACTGTAAGCAGAGATTTTGAGAGGACTCCGTTCCATTGGGATTCGAGTGTTAACGCAGGATTTAGCACGGGAAATAAAACTTGGTTGCCCGTCAGTTCAAAATATAAAACCAACAATCTTGAACTGCAAAGTAAAGATGGTGTAAAAAGTCACTTTCATGTCTACCAAGATTTAATGAAGTTAAGAAAAGAAGATACATTAATTTATGGAAATTTGAACGTAGAGGTTTTAGCCACTTACGTTTTGGCATTTACGAGGGAGTTGGATGGGAACGACACCTACGTTTTTATATTTAATAAGGGAAATTATTCTACTTCAGTGTCACTTTCTTCGTTTAAGTCTCTCAGTGGAAACGTAACAGTAGTTCTATCCAGTACCAACTCATCGAGAAACAAAGGGTAAGATATGCAAAATTGAATACCTTATTTAATTCATTAGGTATTATTTATAACGTTTCAACCAGTAACGCCTTCAGGATTAATCATTCATATGTAAATAGTCAAAAAGTCACTAAACTAGATTTGTTATGGTTTTCAGGGATACTCTGTCAACAGCAAGCATAATTATGGATGCACACGAAGCAATAATTGCAAAATCACGATCAAATGTGTCAGTATGTTGGAACATCTATACTATTCTGTTAATAATGGTATTACTATTTCGAATTTCCTAACAGGACATTAATGAACTTTTTATCTGTTATCTTAAAATATACCGACTTTGTAACTATACTAAATTTATTATATTTTATCAGACTTTTGGAAAATACATACCTTTATCACAATATATTTTAGTTTTTGTATCATTTTTTTCTTTGACTTAGATGCGTGTCTGAGAAAGTGATGGTGAATCTACGTCTTACACTTAAACATCTATATAAATACCTGTTCGTTTAATGCGAAACTCTAAAATCGATTTGTTTCGGATTTTGATTGATGTGCTTTTAATCAATCCTAGGAGTGAGTAAGCGACAAAAATAAATGTTCATCGAAATTTTGTGAATTTATAAATGGATATAATCATATTTTCATAATAAAATAGCGAAATTGCTTGGGAAATGGTTAATAAGGGTAGATAGTGACAGATTTATGAATTTGGACCTGAGGCGGTAAAAATTTAGGAACGTGAAATATTTCATCACCTACACTTCTTATTTTCTCCTTTAAAACACCTATCTTTTTTCGATTATCTTCTTTAATTTACTTTATTCATTTCTGGCTAACAAATTTTGACAATTAAGGGACAAATAACCCTATTGAATGAAATTCTCCTACCTGATAAGTTATTATTGTTCCCATTTACTTTAAATATTGTAAGAGTTTAACAAACCGTCGAAC